TTATTAATATTATAAATTATTAACATTATGCATTATTAAAATTATACATTATTAAAATTATAACTTATTAAAATTCTAACTTATTAAAATTATAAATTATTAAAATTATAAAATAATACGTATTATAAATTATTAATATAATAATAATACGTATTATAAATTTTTAAAATTATAAATTATTAACATTATAAATTATTAATATTATAAATTATTAACATTATACATTATTAGAATTATACATTATTGAAATTATACATTATTAAATTATTTAAGTAAACAAATACACATAATACCTTATTTTATATACAATTTTTTTTATAATAATAATATTTTATTTAAAATTATATAATAAATAAAATATAAATTTATACGTTTTAAAAATAAAAAAACAAGGCCCATTTTTAAAATTTAAAACGAAAAAAAAAAATAAAACAGGGGTGCTCGAAATTCAGCTCCCTAGGAACCGAATTCCAACAGCCACGTCACATCGGGAATGCACTGTTTCAGGTCAAAATTTAGCTCACCGGGGACCAAATTCTAAACCTGAACAGTGATCAGATCTATTTTGGTAAATAATGCAGGCCTAGGTTCATTTTGTAATTTTTTTAAGAAAAATTTCATAATAGTAAAAAATTCAGATATGTTGCAAAAATGTATGAATTTGGCATCAGTTAGTTCAACTGGTAAAAATATATATATAATTAAATTATAAGTCTATAAATACCCCAGCATAATATGAGTGAAGGGTTGAAAAATTTTGCCTGCAAAATTGATAAAAAGAAACAGAGAATTTATGAGCACTAGAAGAAGCTTGGAGAAGGAAGATAGGTAGGGCGTAGCATTGGTATGTCTGTTATTCCCTTTCCATTTGAGGTTTGGAAATTAAAAATGTTATTATTTTCTAAATTCATGTATTTTAATTTTTGAAACAATTTCATGAACATGCAACACACACCTATAATCACAAACATATTCTCTACTTTATAAAAAAAACCACCACAATTACATCCTTTTATTGCTTGAAAATCGTAAGGAAACCAATAATCAATCAAAGCCACCAACTTGCTTCACGCAAGTTATCCCAACCAGCCAAACAAGGGAGGTAAAATGAATAAGGAAATCAAATAAAAAAGGGGTTTTGCCTCACTATTGTGCACCGTCGTCGGAGGCGATTTCTGGTAACAATGATAGTTACCTTCGTGTGGAAGCGTCACTGTGAGCACTATCGTGTGCCATTGTCAGAGGTGATTTCTAGCGATGGTGACACTCATTTTCCTTGCCCAAGTTATGACTAATTGTCATGCACACTATTTTAAAACCTAGATTAGACCGGCCGGTCCGAATCTTGAGTTGGATCGGTTATGCATTTGACCCGTTTCAAACCGCGTACTAGTAGTTATTTTTTAAGGTCCAACTGGGTAGTATGCACGTAGTACTCCGATCAGTTATATATATGTTTTTTTAGGGTTTAACTGGGTAGGACGTACATAGTACTTCTCTTTTTTCAAGTACATAAGCATAATTTGTATCTAACATGTTCAAAGAGGAATGTTGTTCATCTATCTCATTTTCCTCATTGTAACTAAGCATGCATGTTGAGAAAGAAAAACTCTCGCAAATATGAAGTGTTGGATCATCATCAGTGAGTACCATCCATGCTTCTACCTTGGAGAACCACACTAGCCACCTTTTATAAGGGATCATTGCATAAAACATTTATTTAGCTTGGTGAATGACGATGAAAGGCTTATCCTTATAAGCTAAATTGTGAAGGTTTGTCAACATAAATCTCATTATTAATTTTTTCACTAGTGTTAATATCAACTTATTTACACTTTTAAGTAAACATTCTAAATTTAGTGTAATCAACCTCCTAAATATTTTCAATGATTTCAAAGTAGCTTATGGATGTGATAACATGATTTTTACATTTTGAACTAGAAAAGGGCAAGGACTGAGCTTGAAGAGTGATTCTTTTGTTTTGTAAATGTTTGCTTACCTTCTGACTTTGGATATTACGGACATATGTCCATCTCAAATAAATCTTGATGAGCATTAACATCATCATTTGTCTTATCTTTAATGATTAAAAGTGTGCACGTATTGCATTGTCACATAATTTTTCTCGACATGTATAAATATATATAATTTTTTAATATCTAAATGGCACCGATACATAATACCAAATAATATTGACATTTTCTTCTATATATTTTTCTCGCTATACTTTTTTTGAGTCTTTCTAAAGATTGTATTTACGTCACTCACTTATAAACCTATTTGCATTTTGAAGTGTTGCCCCTTATTCATTAAAAACTTTTTTCAATCTCCAATATGAGTGATTAGGTCCAAGAAATTTTCAATGCTTAGTGTAAATAGTTTTCTTGCTTAGAATTTGATAAGAAAAAACATAAAGGCTAGATTATTGACATGTCATTTAAATAATGTCAAATCATAATAATGTTACAGTTTTAACAATTAGTGGATGGATATTCAGTGAGATACCAAAATGACAAACTTTATAAAATTAGGAACTAAAATTTCAAAATTAAAATTTGGTGATCAAAGTTATACTCCTTTTTTCTATTTCATTTGACGTTATGGTAATTTTTATTTGTTTTAATTTGATTGATATCTTACAATATTAATGTAACATTAAATATTTTTCTATTATATTTTTAACCATTATTAATGAATTCTTTGATTAATGTGTTTCTTTTTCTTTTTCAATACTTATTTAATTGGTGAAAAATCAAAAAAAAAATTCAAAGATATATTAAGAAGGCTTAAATATATTTTTAGTCCCTCAAATTTAGGGTAAATCTGTTTTTGGTCCCTCAAATTTAAAATTGTTATTTTTAGTCCCTGTAATTTTAAAAAATCTTATTTTAGTCTTTATATTCAAATTTTGTTAAAAAAATTATCAAATATTATTGCATAAAATCTACCTATTGGTGTCCCTATTAATAAAAATATCACATTAAATCTTATTGATATTACATAACTGTCATAATTAGTCACTTTCAAATATGTTATGAGTGACTTAAGGAACTAAAACAAGATTTTTGAAAATTACAGAGACTAAAAACAAATTTGTCTTAAATTTGATAGACTAAAAACATATTTAAGCCTATTAAGAAATTATATATTTTTTAAAATTAAATATTAATTATATTTCTTTAAGTCTTACCAAAATATAACAAAATTGAGTGTACATAAGATATTATAAAGGATCTATTTAGCCAAAGGCCTTTAGTAGATTGTTAAGTTGACTTGTGACGCTGCGATTGTTGGACGGAGTTGGAGTTGATTATAAAGGCTCTTGCGAAGGAATATTTAGATATGATTGTGGCCATTTTGTTATGGGCTGTGCAAATGTTTAGGAACTCGTAAGGTTCCTTATTCTGGAATTGAAAATAGTTGTTCAGCATAGCATGGCTTTAGTCTGATTCATTGACCACTGTTAGATTGATCACTGGGTTCTGTGATCGCTGTCACCCATGCTCTCTTTTAGTAGATGAAATCTGTCCCTTGAATGGTAATTTAGATGCGTGGTCTTTCTCTTGGGTCCCAACAGAACCTAACCAAGTTGCTGATATAGTTGAATCAAGTTTCAATTATCTTTATACAGACCTACTTGTATTTTCAATTCTATTCCAAACTCTATCTCTTCTCCCCCTTTTGCCTTTGGTGATGCTAGCTCTACTTGGTTTCCACGGGATTTATCAATCTTTCTTCTGGGTGAAGTCCCTCCCGTTAGCAAATAATTAAATTTACATTTATACTTTAATATGTACTTAGTAATTATCAACAATAATATAAAAATATTTATTTAACTTGTATAATTAAAACATAATATATAAATATTTTTAAATATATAAATTGTATTTTAAATTTATGATATATAATGCATATAAAAATATAAAAATATTTTTATTTATTGATAATTTAAAAACAGTTAAAATACAATTTAGAACTAACCATAAAAATGATATACTAAAAAAGAAGTTGTATAATTAAGAAATATAACCTCCCCCAAATCGGTCAATTTCAAGAGTCAAGTGACAGTTCTAGTTGGAACTTCATATGTCAATGCAGAGAAGATAGAAAACTCTAGAACCACTCTCTTGAAAAACAAAGAGTAAAATACTCGATAAATAAAAGCCTCTTAAAATGTTTAGGATAACTACTCTAACTTAAATATTTATATATAAGGAAGATAGAAACAAACATTGAATTTATTTGAATACATGTTTAAATTCAAAATAAAAACATTTTTTAATACAATTTTTTTAAAAAAATTATATTCAAACAAACTGACGTAAATATGAATTCTTATTAAAAATACTAAAAGCTTGCATTCAAATGCTGTGAACATTTATATCAAATATGAAAGAACAAGTAACTTAATTGCAACAATGATGACAAAACGGGTCGTGCGAATGAAATTCAAACTACAATAGATAAACAAATTAATATTTTTCCAAAAGCATTCTTATATCATACTGTGAAACCTTTAAAATGAACAGTATCCGAGATATAATATTTTTACTACATACAAAATCATGTCATCCATTCGATATCATTTCCTCATATATAATCACAAGGTCGAAATAACAGTAAAAATTACTCATGTTTATTTTCCACAGTTGAACCCACGGCAGACAGAGAGGACTATTATGAGGATCAGGGCTATCAAAATTGCCAACACAATCAGCTTTATCTTCATGTTTTGCAGCCACATTTTTCTCCGGATTTTGGTTCCAGAATTCCTGAAGTCTTGTGCCTGCCTCAAAAAATAGGGAAAGTAAATAAATAGTAATCAAAAAGTTATTGTCATGAAGCAAATAGATTCAACCGCATCAAAGCATATAGAAAGGCCAGAGGATAAGAAATACATACAGAAATATAATATACTAGTGATAATGAGGCATGGAAGAATAATACCAAGTTCAAGACCTTAAAAGCACAATACAATAACAGCCAGTTGGACATATACAACAAACTAACCTGATGATGAAGATTTTCAGTCTTGTCAACCAGAAGCTCTATCTTTTCCCCTCTATCCAGAACCTACATTAAATTACTAGCATGTCAATATAACTGAATAGGTGTCCTCATGCAATACATATTCCAATAAAGGTATTGGAATGCAAAAAAAAATTGACTACTTCTTTTCTCCCTTTACATATTTTCCGCAGAAATGTATGACTGGTTTAATACATATGTTATAATGTATTATCATTATGGCATAGAAAAGACAGAAACTCGCTGGAAATGCACAAAATTTTGACTGTCTTTGAGAATGCAGAGGAATAAGCAACTGGTAGTTATAGAACAATTAACTGCCTATAAATCAACAAATATATCTTGGCTTATTTATAATTTGGATTCGATTCAGAAACAAAACACAGCAGCCCAACCCAAGTGCAATACCATGAACCATTTATGGAGAACAGAATTTCTGCGAATCAGATAGTTTCCTGTTATCCAGTAACATAATAAGATTATGAGCCAGTATGAATACAGTCTAAATGCTTTTTAGAACTTCTCTATTGGAAATAAAGAATATTTTTCAATAGAGAAATTCTTAAAAGCCTTTTTAGGCTTGTACCTAAACATGTTCTATGTTGGAAAGAGAAAGACATTTATTTATCAAATGTAATTCTTTAGTCCTATAACTGAGCACGTTGAATCCTTGTTTGATTAAAAATGTGTTCTCTCCAACATGATCACAATTCACATCCTTGTTTGATAAAAAATTTGATTTTTTGCACCTTCAAAACTTGCGTAAAATATAGATACATACATTTTCTACAAGAAAAAAAAAAGTGTTAGGAACTGGTATCCTCATAGGTATTATAGGATCAAGTGAAAAGCAGTGCTCTAATTACAGATACTAAAACAAAGAAAAAGCAACAGAGGCAGATGGAAACAAGAGAGAAACATGGAATGCCATCCTGCCCCTGGGCCTAAGCTTTCCATAATTTCTTTCAGAGATTTGACAACCCTTCCCCCCCACCTACAGCTCTCCCCCTTGATATTTTCCACTCTTCCTTCCCATTATGTTAATTTCTTCCTTTCCTCCAAACACAATTCCTTTCGTTACCTGCCTCATTCACTGGTAAAAACCAAAATTGGAGGACCACGATTTAGAGGCCTATCAAAAGGTCAAGTTTTCAGTCATACTACTTCTAGCTTATTCATTTTGAGAAGGTTGTAATAGGTTAACAGCCTCAAAGAACTTCGGATAGAGAAAAAATGCTCACGTCAACATCTTCCTCCAAAAAGGATAATAGTATCATCAGTAAACCCAGAGGTGGGAGACAATAACCATAACTGATCAAAATTTAAGATTATTGGTCTATATCAACAATGGCACTTAAAGAAACAGATAGAGGGTCCCCTTGCCAAATTTTCTGATGTCCATAAAAGCAAGCCTGAGATACACTGACTATTCACAATCACAAGGAATATTGCCGGAGGCAACTGGATTCACTTTCTCAATTCAGAACTGCAAGTATTTCCCAATCATGAAACCTCACCAACAAAAAGCTCAACTAGCCTGATCACATGTTTCCTCAAAATCCAACTTCACACTAATCTACATATTCTTTCCTTATATAACATCATCCATCACTTCATTTGCTATCAAAACAAAAAAATAAAATCCATTTGCTGCAATTAAGGGACGACTACTATACTGAAGATATAAATACAAGTTAAATAATTTATACTACACTTGTTAAATAATTTATAATACACATAAAAGCTGAAAAGTAGAATATCACCACTATTTCTGGCACAGTTACTATGGCTTGCATGTTTCAATAATTACTTCAAATCCAAAATGTAATAAAGAAGAATATCTGGCTGAAAATATGATTCCCATCTGACATGCCTATACTGGACTTGTAGAAATATCAATAATTTAATACTTAAAAACCAAAATCAAAGTTCAAAGTTTTTTTAATACCATATCAAAATGTAGGATTGAAAGACGCAATGAAAAACATTTTGAAATATATCATATTAAATGGTGAATAGTGGTGCTAAATGTAATAGTTTTAATCCAGGACTTCACAAAACCACTTAACCATAAATCTCAACAAAATCATTAGTCATAACTATGTCTTGCTATCAATCTACAGAGAAGCTATTAAATAGAAAACTTAAAATAAAACAGAAGCATCCAACTTAATTCATAAGTCATAATTATTTGTGTTCTTACTTAGTGGTAGTTCATCTTCATCCTGAGCAAACTACCCCATATTCAATGTAGACATTGAACGTTAATTACATGTGATACGTAATCTATTTAAGAATAATAATATTAACATGTAACATCCTTCTGTTTCTTCTTTGCCTTTGGAACCAGATAAAGTGAATGCCTTACTTTCAGATGAACTAATACACATCAATTATATCACAAGATAAGGCATGTATAGAGTGAGTATGTGGCCGTGTGAAGCCTCTGTTTCAAAAGAATAAGAACAGAACAATGAAACAGCCAAATAGGATGCAGACTGCAAGAAGTAGGAGTATTTATAAACCGATCCAAGTCGGTGTAAATTGCAAAAATAAACAAAAAATACAAAAGCCAAAAGAACAAATTTTTTTATTGGATTGGATTTCAGATCCAATTTTAAAAACTAATATATCCAATCCAAACAGAACTAATATATATATACACACACACACACAGGATTTTATTTATGAAATTAGTTTACCACCTATATTTGTATAAATGTATTTATGAAATTATTTTAATATATTTATAAATTTAATAGTTTTGTATGAATTAAAAATTTGTTCTTGTGTCTCATCTTCATATCAAACAATTTTTGCATTTTATATAAAATAAGTTAAAAAAAAGAAGAGTGAAACATATAAAACAAGACTTATTTATTATCCTAGCCAAATCAAAGAATCAATCTAATTTTGGTTTAAGTATAAAATTGATTGGATGAATTTATTATAAAAAAATAAAATAAAAATAAAAATAAAAAATAAAAACTTAGGAGATTGGATTAAATAATTTTTCTCCTTACTAAATCTGATATATTCCTAAGAGACCCGAATGCAAAGCCCCTACTTCTTAAGAAGGAAAACAAAGCACGGAATAATAAAATAAAGGTGCATTAAGTTGCATTTCTTTAACTTCTTTACATTTAAGAGTCTAAGCTTATCCAACTTGTAATTTTTCTTTTTATGAAAATCGATGAAAGAAGTGGGAAAAACGAAAAAGAAACAAAAATAACGAACTGTTTACCCAGGTCCATGCTTCATCTAAGATTCATCACATAAAACAAATAGTCGATTTCTCGATTTGTATTGAATCGTACCATTCTAGCCATACCATGTACAATTCTAACAACTATTACAGACTCGTGTACATATGCAGCATGAAGACCATAATTGAACATAATTCCGGCCAGACTATTTTAGTAGTAGTCTCACAGTCATAAATAAGGTTTAAGTAGTCACCATTTAGGTTATCTCAAAGATCCACTCTATGCATCGCATCTTCTTTGTTGTTACATAAACTTTTAAGCACAACCACAATCTTACATCCCTCTATACACCACAATTCATGCAATTTACGATTATAAAGCAATTTGATCTACTTAATTTACGCCTGATCTATTCAATTTTCACGAGTAAAAGCAAATAAGCAGTGTACATCTTCACCTTTTCAATATTCTCCATCATGACACCTTTAACCTCAGAAACCTGAGCTTTCACCTTAGCAAGCTTGCTTATCTCCTCAGGATGCTCAACACAGTACTGCATATGCTCCTTCAACTTGGACCTGCACCAAGCCAAAAAAAAAAAACAAAAAAAACAGTAAATATCAGTTATCACCTACAACACCACAAATCACAATCACACCAAATCCATCACCAATCTCACACAACACAAACTCAATACCCGAACTCCTTGTTCAGGCTGTTCGCGGCGGCGGTGGCGGCCTTTCCGCCGCCGTATTTGGCGACGAAATCGTCCTTCACACGCTCCAGAAAAGCCACCGGCACCTGCCTTCCGATCGACTCATCCGCAACAACACAATACGCTACAAAACACGAGTGGCGGGCGTTGCGGCCCTTTCCGCCGCCGTATTTGGCGACGAAATCGTCCTTCACACGCTCCAGAAAAGCCACCGGCACCTGCCTTCCGATCGACTCATCCGCAACAACACAATACGCTACAAAACACGAGTGCGTGAGACAGAGCAACGTGAATTTCATTTAATTTGAATTTGAATTTGATTTAACGCAAAGGAAACATGTCCGAGATTGGTAATAGATCGGAGTTAGGAATACGAACTGAAGCCGTTGTCGACGAGGTAGTTGAAGGTGTGGCCGTCGCAGTTGTAGGTGAATTTGTTGTTGGAGGCAGGGAGCTTCTGAAGGCACTGAAAGGCGATGGAGTTGAAGTTGCCGCTGAATTCGGTGTACTCGGCGAGGATGACGGTGCCGCGAGAGACGAACGCGTAGATCAGCGATCTCTGGTTCTGGTCGTGTCCCATCCTCTTCTTCTCCTTCTTCTTCTTCTCTCAGATCTGTGTTTTACGCTGATTTCAGCTTTTGGTGTGTGAGAACTGAGAAATGAGAGTACTCTTCTTTACCTACACTCTCTTCTTTTATTCCTTTTCTTTTCTTTTCGTTTCGTTTCTTTTCTTTTCTAGAGAGAGAATGTAGGAAGGAAGAGAAGGACGATGAGTGAGAAAAAAGAAAGTGTTTGGGGCGCTTATAAAGCAGGTGATAACTCCCATGTGCCGTTTCTTCCGTCCAGACTAAACAACCTTTTTTAATTATTATTCTCAATTAATTTACTATTACTATGGCTTCCTAATTAAAAAAAAAAAATACACGGGAGTTGCTTTTAAAAAAAATAAATTTTAAATTTAAATATGTGTTTAATCTTTAAATTTAGAGTAAATTTATTTTTATTTTTTAAATTTAAAATTGTTATTTTTAATTTTTATAATTTTAAAAAAATATATTTTAATTTTTACATTTAATTTTTTTAATAAATTTATTAAATATTATTATATAAAATATATTTATTAGTATTTTTTGTTAGTGAAAATATTATATTAAATTCAATTGATATTGCATAACTATATTAATTTATTACTTTCAGATATGTTATTGATAATATGAAAGACTGAGATAAAATTTTTGAAAATTACAAATAGTAAAATTAATAATTTTAAATTTCACGAAAAAAAAAAAACAAATTTATCGTAAATTTGAGAGATTAAAAATATGTTTAATTTTAAATTTTAAATTAACAATTTACATATTAAAAAATAAAATAAAAATGTTTTGAGAAAAACGTTTGAACAAGCATGCCTATGTAAGTCTTTTAAGATTTTAGTCACCATTCCTAAGGTGATGAAAGAAAAGAGAAAAAATTTATAATAAAAAAATAATAATAAAAAATTGAAAGGTTGATTTTATATTTTGGAAGTTATTTTTCACTTTCTTTATTTAAATGAAAGAAAATGTATCATCATTTATTCAAACATGGTAAAAATTAATATTTCAAATAGTTTAGCTTCACATTAATCTTTAAAAGATGTACTTTATTATTAAATTGAACCATCATCATAGATGTACTAGTGAAAGATGCTTTAAACTTGATAATAAGTTAAAACTTTTGGATCTGCAGTTTTTAAATACATTTAAAAATCCCATTAAGCTAAAACAAAAATATCTCATACAAAAAACATACGCAATTTTTACTAAAAAAATTAAATTGAAAAATTTTATTTATTTATTTTAGTATAACATGAGTAATAATTTCATGCAAATTTAAGAATAAATAATATTTTTAATTGATTTAAAATTTTAATCTCTGATTAAAGAGTGAAGTGCTGCACGTGGCGTTACGATATCGGAACAGTGGAAGAACCGTGCGGGTACAGGAAATAAGTAAAGAAAATGAAAGAAATAATAATTTATTTATTGGAGGAGTATTTTATTTTATTTTATATTGCTTCTTTTCAATTGAAACATCCAACTCAACCTCTTGAATGAACCTGTTAATCCAACAACAACAATGACATCTCAATTTTCTCACATTCACTAAAATAATACCATTTAATACTATTAATTAATTTTTAGGTTAAACGTACTTTTTCTTTTAATTTTAATTTTTAATCCTCATAAACACTTTAATTTTAGTCTCTGTTATAATAGTAACAATGTTGAAGATTTTATTTTTATCCCCTAATCATGTTGCCACGGTCCCAAAATCGTATTCACATTATCTTTACTTCTTTATTAAGGTAATCAAATTTATATTTCATAATTTTTCTCAAATTGAAAAGTTTTATCTTTTTATTTAAGTATAATAAAATATGTATAGTTACTTTTAATTTTTATTGATAAAATGTAATTAAATTTAAAAATATATGTACTTGCTATTTCTTTTTCACAAATTAATTATTTTATTTTAATATAAAAATTATAACAATAACAATGGATGTCAAATTTGAATTCTCGTATTCATTAATTTTGGTGTCACTTCATCACTATAAGAGTAAACTTTTACATTAAAATAGTATATATCTTTTATAAATTTGTTAGTTCGATATTTCCTTTGATAGTTTAATTACCTTTCTTTGTCTTTTTATTTATTTTTATTTACTTCGAGTGTCGGTGGAGATGCCATGATACAGTGAGATCCATAGAAAGTACCATGTCATCATGAGTTTATAATAAAGAGACTTAATTTCATTAATCTAATAAAAAGTAATTTTGATATGTTATTGTGCAATATGATTTTTATAGCGTTTCTGCAGAAAATATTGTTTTCAATTTTGAAAAAATAGAATAATTTTTTTATAGAAATATATAATATTATAAAACTACAAAAAATACTTATCATGGGTCAAAAAACTATGTTATTTTGTTATGCTTTATCGAGATTAGTTATCATTAAAAAAATAATAGCTAATCTAAAATGTCAAAAAAGTCATGATTCAATTATTGTTGTTGTTTGTTGATTTAAAGGTTTTAATATTCACCAATTATTTAGGTAAATGGGAAAGAGGTTTTTAAAAATAAATAAACTCAATCCAAAATATTAAAAATTATTATTTTTATCTCTTAAAAATATTTAATTTTTAATATAACTAAACAAAAATATATTTGACTTTCCTCTTCCAGTTTCACACTCCACTTCAAAGTTGGTCCAAGAATAAAACTATTAAAGACCTACATATACTTTTTTATTAAAAAAAATCAAAATTTATTTTAGACTTCAATTATAGTTGAACCAGCCTTCTCCACTCACAATGCACTAAGAAATCTTTAGAGTATTTGTAGACATGTATGATAGATAAAAATAAAAAATAAATAAAAAAATCTTGTAAATGTATGTACCAAACAAAAAGACTATTAAATGTCATTAAATATTTGGTTCAGAAAGATGACTTAAAAATGGTTAAACAGGTAGTACAAGCTGTTTATGAGAGTTGCAAATCTTTTTCAAAATTCTATATTAGAAGTTTGGGTTTAATCCATGGCCCAGTGTGATGGCTAGTAAGCTCAGAAAAACATCATGTTTTACTTTATTCCAACATTTGGAACAAACCAAATAATTGCTTCATTCTTAAGGCCAGAAATCGTTACTGTGTTTTGCATTTTGAATCATATGATCCTTGGTTTTTAAAATCCTTACCCGCATAAATGTTTCAGTTTGGTGGGTTCCAACATTGCTTTTTAGTTTCTCATGCCATTGATACTACCCAACTAAACTAATCCAGGTATCATGACTCTATCAATACCACTTCCTTTTCTTGGACTCTGCCACCTCAATTCAAACCATTACTGTGAAGAGTTAACACCTATATTTACACTAGCAGTCAATCAAAACTATTAATAATACCTTTTTTATTTTAATTTAATTAAATAAGTTGATAAAAAAATATTATTAACGGCTCTAATTGACTGTCAGTGTAAAAAAAATTTACACTGACAGTGTATAAGTGATTAAATGTATATCATGCACTTGATCCTTATTTTAGTGGTTTAGTTTTTAGTTTTTTTAATAAGAGATAATATTACTTTGGTTGGAACTTGAAACTACCAATAATGAGGTAACAGGTAGATTTGGTAGTGAAATTATTTCGAACTTCCGAAATGAACCTATTTTAGTATAAAATTTAATTTGAATCGAAACCCTGCTTTGTTTTCATACTATAATTTCCAAATGAACCTATTTTAGTCTTTGATACTTTGAATTTTAATTCTCAGCTTTGTAAAATCTTCACTTTGTTTTTTAAATTTTGTAAGATATTTTTATTTTTATATTCTATTTTAACAGTCATCTCATACTAAAAAAAAATTAAAATAAATGTTGCATTGCAAAGTTAAGGATTAAAATGCAAATTTCATAAAATTAGATATTGAATTGATTTGGAGTAACGATTTTAGGGATTAAAAAAGGAAATTTCATCCATTATGACTGTTGAAAAGATTCTTTCTTAATATGGCGTACAATCAAAGCACAGTTCAATAACAAAGTTTCAAAAAAGATTCACATAGAAGTCTGACATTCTTAATTGCAGTATTACAAAACATAAAAAGTAATAATTATAGATTTAGGTAGTGATTATTTTACTCTACAAAGAGCAATAATAACGGGTATAAATAAAATATCATCAAAGGTGCGATTGGTAGTTTCTCAAAAATTTAAATTAGATGGTTAATTTTTCATATATATTTTTTTTATTATTTTAAAAATAATACTTTCAAAAATATTTTTTTTAAAACTATTTTTTTAGCCATAAGTAAAGAAATAAATAATAATAAAAGATGAAAAAGAATAGCATATGTAATGTCAATGGTTAGAAATCTAAACACAAAAAGGAGAGAGTAAAACTCAATGTTGCATAAATTGATGATTAGAAATCACAATTTTCTTACAAGAGAATTGCACATGTGTGTTGAGATTATTCAGTCAACGGTGGGACATGTCTAGTTACGCAACTAGTTCAAGGTGTAGTATGAAGGTCTTCAGTCCATGGGAAGAATGAGTGGTTATGTTTGGCGGTTAATGCTAATCCTAATATTTCTATTCGGAGAGTTTGGTGGTGTTACTTGGAGGATTTTCAAAGATGTGTTAACAGTTCTTGGATGTTGGTGGAACATTTTAATGACATTTTCTTGTTGTCAGAGCAACGAGGTGAAGTGTTCTCATATCTCCATGCTTCCAGTTTTGTAGATTGTTTAAATACTTCCCTATAATGGACTTGGAAGCATTCAATGGTTCTTTCATGTAGGAGATGAGATTTTGTTTATGTTAACCTTTAAGAGGTGTTTGGGACGAATTTGGATCCTCTCCTGCAACTTTTTCTCTCCAGCCTCTCTCCTGCAACATTAATAGTCATTTGATATATCTAATGGCTCAAATTTAATCACTTAAGAAGTTACATTAATTATAAGATTAAATTTGAGCCATTAGATATATCTCATGGCTATTAATATTGCAGAGAGAGACTGGAGAGAGAAAATTGCTGGAGAGGATCCAAATTCGTTTGGGACAATGATTAGCGACTAACTTTTCATGAGGCATTTATGGAAAACTTAATTAGAAGGCACACTGATCGTAATCCCTTCTTGATAAGATGTCATCATTTTATGCCTAGATAGAAGGAGAAATAATTATGATTCCGGTGTACACATGGAGATTATGCCCAGGTTGTTTTGTAGGCATGACACAAGAAGGAGGGTGATGTGTTGAAGGCACTATCAAACAAAGATTCTATCATGTTTAATAAGGAGGTGTTTGGGAATATTTTCAAAAAGAAAGAGGAGCTTGAGTCTCTTCTTAAAGGATTCAACGATTGCTCAAAAGGATTGACTCAACTTGCTTATGTGCACTTTTAGAAGACTTATTGAAAGAGTGAGTTGATTTTATTCTTGGAAGAATATCCCTGGTTCCAAAATTTTAGGGAGAAATGGGCTCAATAGGGGAACCAAAATACAACCTTCTTCCATGATCAAACGATCATCAAATGAAAATGAAATAAGATTCATAAGCTTTGGCTTCCTTCAAGGGATTGATGCAGAAAAGCTAAGAGTGGAAGCTCTTAATTTCTTCAAGGATCTATTTTGTTCAAAAGAAATAATAAGTACAACTTTTTCAGACTGGAACTTGAATGTGTGTTAGCTCACAAAACCAAGGTAAATTAGTTAAGCTTGTTTCGAAAGAAGAGGGTTTTCAAACACTTGTGGACATGCAGTCATATTCTGCTCTGGGCCTTGACGAGTTCCAACCATTTTTTCTTTATGATATTTTGGAATAAGCTGGGAATAATGTTTGGCAATTTGTAGGAGACGTGTTTGCTACTAGAAACTTTGATGTGAATGTTGTTACTTGTTAGTACTCTCATAGTGTTGATCCCAACAAAAGACTATCAGTTTAGCTTACATGATTTCCAATCGATTAGTTTATGCAACATTGTGTACAAACTCATCTCTAAGATCTTAGTTAACAAAGCAAGATCAATTTTTAGATGCTCTTATTAATCTTTGACAAAACAATTGCATTATAGGATGAAAGCACTAAGGACAATGCTATTATCTTTCAAGGGGCAGTGTAAAAAGGTCAAATACAAATTTTAAATGTAAGAAGGATGATTTGATATTCAAACTAGATCTTAAAAAGGTTTATTATAAAGTGGATTGGGATTTCCTAGAACAAACTCTTTAGCCTTTTGGTTTACCAAAGGCAATTGTTTCTTTGAGTACGTGTAATATTAAGAAATGAATACAAGTTTTTTCACAGTTCACCGTTTGAAACAAGGTGATCCCCTTCCTCTATATCTCTTTGTTCTCTGTATAGAAAGGTTAGAGATGCTGATTCGGCAAGAAGTACAACGAGTTCCCTATAAGGTTGTCCAAATCTAGTCCCCACCCATCTGTTCTTTGCAAATGATGTCTTGCTCTTTGTCAAGGCCCACATATACCAAGCTAATGTGATTGCGAAGATTTTAGAAGACTTCTGCTCAATTTCACGTCTAAAAATTAGCGTGGAAATCTAGAGCCCTAGCTTCGAGGGGAACGACTGGAAGCCTGAAGGCAAATATTACCGATGCTACAAGAATTCAGTTTACTTCCAAGCTAGATAAATTCAGTTTACTCTCTTTCAAGGAAGGGTGACGCACGATGATTATTCTAGCATCATCCAGCTAAAGCTTTTTTTTTTTTTATAAATAAAGTTAAGAAACTATTTCCAATAACGCTAAAATAAATTCGTTATTATTTATAAAATCTAAATCAAATACACTAATGAGGCTAGAACTTCACTGTTCATCCCAAACATAAAAACCACATGATTACTTGAAGAAAAAAAAAATATTTAATGCATTTGGAAGGAGGAAAAGAGCATTTTTCCAATATATATATATATAT